AGGATACCAAGATCCTTGTTTAAACCAGATACGTGTGTTTTGTGTCTGATAATGAGTTTGAGTTCCATGAGTCTACGTTGGTGGAGGGAGGAGAAATTAGTGGATATGAGGGCACACCGTAGGTTGCTGAGAGAATGGTTGCTAGATTTAAAGTGTTCTGCTACAGGAAAACCAGTGCGATTGTGTCGGATAGACGATTTGTGGTTATTAAATCTGGACCTAAAATCAACACCAGTTTCGCCAAAATAATGACCATCATCACAAATATAGCAGAATAACATATATACAACATTGTGAGCATCACAGTTAAGAGTGGGGAGACGAATAGTGCAGCCAGAATGAGGCATAGAAATAGAGCAGTCGGTGGTGATAAATTTACAAATTTGACATCTAGGCTTGTGGCATTTGGTATTACCAGCGGACCTACAGGATGAAAGTATAGCGAGATGAAGATAGAATAGATTTGAGATTGGGCGGTTGGCGGTTGGCTACTACTGGGGGATCATTGAAAATAGTGTTTATGGAGGGATAGAGTTTGAGGGATTGAAATCCTTGTTTAAGTCTGTTAGCTATTTGGGAATTGCTGGGACTGTAATAACTAGGTGTATGCGTTCCGTGATGGGCTTAGGATTGGGAGAGAGGAGAGAAGGTCTAGAAAACCTATTAGCTCTAGAGGTTTGCTTGAGGATGAATTTAAGAGGATAACCTTTATCCAAAAAGTAGGCCATGAGCTTGTTGACGTGGTCAAAGTAGTCATCATCGTTGGAACAAATTCGTCTGATGCGAAGACATTGGCTGAATATCAATGATTGTTTGAGTTTAAGGGGATGAAAGCTGTTATAGTTAAGATAAAAGTGACGATCGGTGGGCTTACAGTACAAAGAAGTCGAGAGTTGCCCGTCTGTAACCTTGACAGAGACATCGAGGAACGGGAGAGTGTGTTGAGAGTGTTCAAACATGAATTTAATAGTGGGATGGAAAGTGTTCGCATGAGTTTTGAAAAGCTCAAGCGCATCAATGCCATGGTTCCATATAACAAAAATGTTGTCAATGTATCTGACATAATGCATGGGTTTGAGATGAAAACTGTTGATAAGTTTCTCCTCGAGGGAAGCCATGAAGGCATTAGCATAATTGGGGGCCATTTTAGTACCCATGGCAGTACACCGCTGGTCTGAAGGTAGTGTCGATCTTTAAATATAAAATTATTATGGGTAAGTATGAACCTAGAAATAGATAAAATATCCTGGATGTGATCTAATGGAAACAACCTGTCTCTTATACACATCTAGATGTGTATAAGAGACAGCCCTTAAAGGAGATTGAATTTTTCGAGATTATTTTTGCAAATTAGAAAGGGAGTTTCTTTTCAAAGCAATTCTATAAATATTTAGAACTGCTACCCTATAAAACCGTATAAAACTACGGTACTGAAGACATGTTTCAACCATGTACTTCGAAATTCTGTTTAGTAATTTGTTATTTAAATTTACACAAAATAAATACATCATATTTTCAAGTAATAATGACATGACCAAAACTTGCCGACAACAGTTTGCTAGAAAACTAGATATCATATCATCATTATATAATTTATTTCGTCTTCAGTTCAACACATGCAGTAAAAGATAAAGAACAACAAAAAACAAAAGAAAAACAAAAGAAACAATGCTAGCTAACACCAGACGAGATTGCGTTAATGGCATTAATGGCGTTAATGTTACTGTCTGGGAGCTCTCCAAGGTGCCGCTAGCAAAAAAATAATATATAAGCAACATAAAGGTAAAATAAGTTGTTAAAATATAATATTTTATCGATAAATTAGAACATTATATACATGTTTAAAATTATGTTTGTATTTACTATTAGTTCTCAACGAAGTGGTTTTTAAGTCGATTAATAAATATGTTTAAGTTAATATAAATTATATATATATATATATATATATATATATATATATATATATATACCTCAAGATTTTATTACAGGAATTACGTTGGGGCCGGGGTTTCCATAGTCTTTAGCAGCATCGGTCTCTAATTAGAATAATGATAAAGATAAAAGGCATTTGTTAAATTGGGACCACAGAAAAGTGGTCTTTCATTGGGGTGGTCTTTAATTAGAGGGAAAAATAACAAATAACTCCAATGTATATTTATTTATCAAACGTGTGTACATTTCTAATAAATTAACTATATTTTAATTATATTAACAATATCCTAATGAATTAATAACAATATATTAATTAATTAGGCATATTAATAATAATAACCAAGTAGCGGTTTGGATAGGTAATTAGTATTTTAGGTCACTTCCTCATCGTGGCGTCGAACGACAGAGGGGGTTCAGGCCTGTACGACGGGATGGGGGTTTTCCCTCAGACCCCTTCAACCTTGGCAGCACTGCAGGGTCAGGCTCACTATAAACGTGCAATTGGACTTTTAAAATCAAGAAAAATAAAGTTCAATAACAAACTAGGGTTTTCTCTAGAACGGAACTTTAATATATCAAGAGCAATTGCCTAAAAATCGTAACATTTAACTTCAAATAGTTTTTTTCACAGCATACCCTTTAACATTATCAATACATTTGATATGTAATATGTTACATATATGATTGTTGTAAGATGATTATTTATAACTGAGTTTAAAATGTACCTATAGATATCATTATACATAGGATGACCAACAAAAAACAATTGGGGGAAAAGTGCCACAGCCAAAAAATTACACATTTACATTGTTTTGAATAATTGATGCTGTAATAACATAACAATATATTTTAATCCGGTTGATACTTTCATTTTCGCTCACTAAAAGTAAACAGACAACACATATCTTTCAAATTAACAATCATACGCTCTGGTAACAAATGACATAAATTTGTTAAACATACACTTCCAATGAAAATCGCATTTTGTATGTAAATGTTAGTAACGTAAGTTTCATATAATTATGTAACACCGATCATAAGTCTATCGTTGTAAAATGAATTAAAATTATAATTTCCCTTCTCAAATGTGAGTATACAGTATTTTTTAATACAGTTATTAAAAATAAATGATAACCGCGCATTCAAAATGAGCACATTTTTTTCAAAACTATCATAAATGACTATAAAAGAGTATTTTTGTCTAAAATCAACAAGAAGAACATTTTATTTGTTTTTATTTATTTTTGGTATGGTTTTTAAGAAAAAAAAATTATTGAAGTAGTTGATAATATGTTCGTTTTTTTCTAAAGATATGTGGTTAAGCCTCTAGTTTTGCTCGTTCTTTCAATTTGATAAAGTTTTGTAACCTACGTTACTAGGATTACTCATCTAATAGAACATTACAAAGATTATTTGCAAACATATTTGTTGTCATCTTATGATGTTAAAGAATTTTGATTAGGTATATTTATTTAATGTGTAACGTTTGCTTTCATGAATTTACAAGCTATTATAATGTACACATAATATTTTACTGTAATATACATTACCATCAACATAAATCGGAAATATATGCAATAGGAATAATTTCCACGAATGATAGCATTCCTATAGAGAGTCACTGTATGTTAGGATTATGTAAATGAAAGTAAATGTATCAGCCACTGCCCATGTTTTTATTAAATGATGTTTATTACATGCTATATCAACAATACCATACGTTACCGTGTGTATAACATACGTTACTTTTCACAATGTAGTATTCCTTGCAACTAGGCCTAAGCTATTGCCTGAAATTTTCAATTTAACATTTAAGTATAAATATCAACTATTTTGTTAACTAAATATAGTCGAGACATAGCCTATAATAAATACTTACCAAATTGCTTCACTTTAATGATGAGTGTAGAACCAACATTCGAGTGAAACACAAAGTTGGTAAACACAAGGTTCTGGGTGTCAATTGCTCAATGCCATTTTTTCTTAAAAGGTTCTTAAACTTTCATGTGTCGTTGGCGGCGTAAATAAAGTCATTTATAATAGTTTTATGCCCTCTATAGTTCATTAATATGGATTAATATTCCAAAACGTAACGTAGGTTACTGTAACGTAAATTACTTTTTTTAAAATTACAATAACTTATTAAACATGATTACATAACACCAATTATGATTTACTGACGCTGTATCCATGCTTATTACTTAACTACTTCTCACGTTTAGTTTGGTTCAAATTCTTGAACTGGTATATGAAAAAATCAGGTAACGTATGTTTCACTGCTTAAAAGCGACAATCAAAAGTTTAAGACCATATTTTGCATAGATGACTTTCTACTTTCTCCGAATTAACAATACATTATTTATAACATCTTATACTAAGCAAATATGAGTTATTACCAGGTTTCCTGCAATAATTATGTTTTTTCTAGCAATTATTATAATATAACGTAAATTACGTGCATTTAGCGACACGGATAAACTGTACCATAACCATACTAACCCACCTCGATTTAAAAAAACTTATAGTACAAATGGTAACACTTTCCACATTATTATCCTTTTGTCATTCCCAGTTGGTGAAACATGGGCGACCGGGTTTACGATTATAGTGAGCCTGACCCTGCAAGATAAAAGACAAACTTTATCCAGCAAACGACTTCTACAAATTATTGCATACACGAGCTCCTTAATCAAACCCAGTACCATTTCGATTGCAATCTGCTGAAATTTAATTTTAGCTATGCTACGATAAAATAATGTTGATACTGACGTACACGTTATCATAATCATCAAATATAATGACAGCGGCCAGCCTGAGCACCACAATGTATATTAAATTGACTTTACTACTGTATTTTATTTTTATTTGTTTATTTATATTTCTTTTACATTTATTTTCAATATTATTAGTAGGCTACTTATCTCGAAAAAACATCTTGATTAGAAGCCCATGATTTCGTGATTGGCTTCTGAGATCCTCGATGCGATGTAAACTTTAGCTGCGTGCGCCAAGTTTGTATTGAATTTTAAACGCGCACTGTGCGTCGTCGTTAAGCGTGTTGTGTACACACCACCTTCACAAATTGTAATAAACTGCTGCAGGCTAGTCCTGGCTAGAGTAAGGTAAAATTTTGGATCTATTTTCCATAAATACGATTTTTATTAAAGTTATTTAAGTTGTTATAATACCCTAACCTAGTAGGCCTGGGCTAGTAGCTAGTACTAGACCTAGAAGGCATAAGCCTAGTACTTAAAAAAAAAAAAAAATTAGATTAGGCCCGGCTAGCCTAGGCCTAGGCCAACAAGCTAGGCGGCCTAGGCTATGCCTAGACCTAGGCTAGGCCATATAGGCCTAGGCCTACACAAATATGGGATATCCTAGGCTGGGCTTGGGCCTAGGCAGTGGCGGCGCCAGCGTAGGGAGTGGGGGGGCAGCAGGGGCTGTCTCCCAATAAAATATATCTTCGAGCAGCCACAGAGCTTAAACT